TTTAATTCTTCTTTGTCTTTGTCAAGTTTCTTTCTGGTTGTTCTTTTGAAAGTGGTATATTAAAGTTGCCCACTGTTATTGTAGATTTGTCTATTTCTTTCTGCAAATCTGTAAGAGTTTGCTTTATATATTTTAGAGCTCTTTCTTTGGGAGCATAGATATTTATTATGGTTATGTTGTCTTGTTCATTTGTCCCTTTAATCATGAGATAATGTCCATCTTTATCTGTTATGCTGGTTTTTGCCTTAAAGTTTATTTTATCAGAGATTAATACTGCCACTCCTGTTCGTTTTTTTTTGCAATTAGCTTGGTATATTTTTTTCCATCCTTTGACTTTTAATCTGTTTTTGTCTCTGTGTGTAAGATGTGTCTCCTGCAGACAGCATATTGAAGGATCTTGTTTTCTTATTCAGTCTGCAACCCTCCATTTGTTAACTGGTTTGTTTAATCCATTTACATTCAGTGTAGTTATCGATAAGTATGGATTAATTACTGCCATTTTGGTTTTTTTTTGTGTCGTTACTACTGTCTTTGTTTTTGTGTGTCTTCCTTTGCTGAGTTCATGCTTTTTTTTTTGTTCTCTCTTTTGAGTTTCCTCATAGTTTTAATATTTCCATGTTCTTCTTGGATTTTTATTTTCTTGGTATGTTGTATACTATTAATTTTCTTTGAGGTTACCTTATATTCCATTGACTTTTCCCTCCATTTAGAGAAGTCTGTTTTATCCTGTAATCTACCCAACTGTCTCACCATCTCTATCTCTGTTCTTACATGTTTACCTTCATTTGCATTGTAATTGGTTTGATCATAGACTGACCTCCCAGATTATTTGAGTTTGTTCTTATAGCTTTGGTCTGTTCTCAACTCTTCTGTCCGTCGATTTAGTTCTGGGAGGTGCTGCCATGTATGTCAGTCTTTGTTTGTTGTCTATTCTTGTTGGTTATCAGTCCACAGAACTCCCTTTAGGATGTTTTATAGTACAGAGTTGGCTTTAGCAAAATCCCTTAGTTTCTGTTTATCCTGGAATGTTTTGATTATACCATCGTATTTGATTGATAGCTCTGCTGGATAAAGGATTCTTGGTTGACAGTTTTTTTCTTTCAGAGTTTTATATATGTCTCTCAATTGCCTTCTTGCTTGCTTCGTTTCTGCGGAGAGATTCAAGCTTAATCTGACTTGCTTGCTTTTGTATGTAACACTTCTCTTGTCCTTAGCTGCTTTCAGGATTCTGTCTTTATCTTTGATTTTGGAGAGCTTGATTATTATATGTCTCAGTGATTTTCTTTTGGAGTCTATTCTTCCGGGGTTCGTTGAGCTTCTTGAATGTTTATCTTCTCACTTTTCAGGATATTAGAGAAATTTTCTTATAGCAATTCTTTAACTATTTCAACTCGGTGGACTTGTGTGATTCTTCCTGTTCTGGAATGCCTATAAGTCTTAAGTTATTCCTCTTCATGTTGTCCAACATGAATCTTAGACCTTCTTCAGATTTTTTAATCCTTTTTTCTGTTTTCTCTTCTATCTTAGTAGTATTGAGAGATTTGTCTTCCAGGTCACTAGTTCTGCCTTCCATCTCTTCTAATCTACTCCTTTGTCCTTTCAGTGTATTGTCTATTTATGATATTCTATTATTGATCGTTTGGACCTCTTTCTGTAGGTTTTGAATTGTTTGCAATGCTGTATCTACCTTATTTGATTGTTCCTGTAGTGCTTTCCTGACTTCTTCCTTATTTTTCTCAACTCTATTGTAAAGAGTTTTGAAACATTTTATGATCATTTTTCTGAATTCCTTCTCAGGCATTTCCAAGGCCTGCCCTTCTTCCAGCATATAGTCTAAGTCTACCTCTTGTTCATTTGTCTCAGACATTTTGTCTTGTTTCTGGACATGTGCTGATATGGTTATTTGCTTTTGCGTCTTGGACATGTTTAGGGTTAATCTGTGGCTTTAATACTTATAGACTATGTGTTTTGGTAGTTTGTATGCTTTCTGATTGCCTCCAGGTAGATGTGATCTGCATGTTGGCTTCCCTTTTCACTCTTCTTATTGCTTGACATAGAGTAACTTTCACAGGTGTTGTCTGTCTCCCTGGTGTTTGGCAGTTGGTATTGGTTCTTGCCTGGATTTTGGTATTTTATAGAGTGTGATTGTTGCTTGACTATATGGCAGCAGTTTGCTGTCTGTTCTTGGATAATATAGGGAGAGAAAGAGTCCCCCAAAGATTAAAGGCAAGTATAAAACAGCAAAAAAAAAGAAACAACAACTAAAATACATTGGATACTGTTGTCTATAATTGCTGAAAAGGGAGAGGAGGGAGAGAAGGAAAAAAAGAAATCTGTAGTCTAATATGACTTTAATGTTCTGTTTCAACTTCTTGCATTCAAAGCCACCTGATGAATTTCACGATGTAACTGTTGGTTGTTTGTGGTGTATCTCGGGATTTAATTTAATTTTTAGCCTGTTTTGTTTTTAAACTCTCTTTCCCTCTCCACACCTCATATTCTAGCCTTTTCCGTATTGAAAAATAGTTTGGGGCTGTGTCTTGGGCTGAGAGTATCTGTGCACATACGTGGCAGAAGAAACCACCAGTGGTGGGAGTTCAGGGGTGTCTACTTGTTCAGGCTCCTCCTCTAGTCACCAGAATGGAGGTGCACATACATGGGGGTGGGGTGGGCAATGAACAGATACCAAAAAGAAAAAAGGAAAAAAAAATCAGCACAAAGCAAAACCGACAAAGTGTATTGTCTACCTTTGCTTTGAGGTTCCCGTAGCGTTTGTCTGTGGTGTGTCTGCTCACCCGCTTGGTCTTGCTGTTTGGTCTCACCAAGTTGTTGGCTCTAGGCCACCAAGCACGGCAGATTAAAAATACAGTTTATTACTTGCACTACAAATTCCAGTAGGTCTAAGCCTTCAAACTTTAAAAATATTCCTATCTATGTGGTTCAGAGTTTCGGAGCTCTGCCCTGAACCCTCTTCACCTGGTATTCTGTGGTATTGCTGATGGCTGACTTCACTGCACCTGTACCCTATCCGCCATCAAGCCCCACCTCCCTTATGTTGTGTTTTTGCACAGAAAATTAAAGTTTTAATAATGAGTAACTTTAGTTGTGAGAGTGCTGACTCTGTAGCATAAACACTGACTGCTAACTACAAGGTCAGTCGGTTGAGCTCACAAGCCGCTCTGTGGGAGAAAGTTGAGGCTTTCTGCTCCCACAAAGATTTCAGCCTTGGAAACCAATACAGCATTGCTATGAACTGATTCATAGCACTTAACAACAGTTTAGTTCTTGACTATTCTTTGGTGAAATTAGTTCCTTTACTTGTGAAGTTATGAAATAGTACATATAAGTTCCTGAAATAAATTAATGTAATGTGTGAATAATTTTAAGAAACTAAACAGTTGAGATGGATTATAAATGGTTTCAGGTTAATTAAATTAGGCTTGGGTTTAATGTGTGGACAGGGTCTTTTGAGGCCTCTGCTACCCTTTTCTTTCATTGGATTGTAAGCCGTTCCACTAGGCACTAAACCTTGAGGCTTAGGCTTCCCTTGGGTCCTTCCTATTGTTTCTCTTCAGCTTTGGTCTTTTTTTTTTTTTTTTTAATTTCTGTCCACCTTAATGGAGTCCTGGTGTGGTGTGCTGTAGGGTGAACATCTGACCTTAAGGTCAGTTTGAACCTAAAGGTTGGTGGTTTAAACCCACCAGTCATTCCTCGGAAATCCTATATAGGATTTATATATAGGATTTGAGTTGGAATCAACTCAATGGCACTGAACAGCAATATTCACTTTATTTATGTATCTCCTCTCCCCTATAAACTTCCCAGCTTTGGTGTCTTCAGTGCCTTTATTTCACCAGTTTTTTCTTTTATCACTGTGGTGTGGAATAAGTTTACCATCTCACTCCTTCCTTCCTTCACTGAAGTAGTTTTTTTTTGAGATAGAAATAGGAATTTATATTTTAAATACACATTTTCTTCATTTATCGACATGGTGATGTTCAAAAGAGCAGAGTATTATGCAGCAATCAGCATAATGGATGACTGGTGTTGTTAAGTGCCATCAAGTCAATTCTGACCATAGCGACCCTGTATAGGGTTTTCGAGGAGCAGTTGATAAGCTGAACCACTGACCTTGCAGTTCAAACAGCTTTACAGTCTGGTGCATCAACCCACAGTGCCACACCAGGACTACATCATTATAAATTTGCCAAAACATTTCATTATACAACTCAACTCTTTTAATTCATTGTTTCTTTCAGTAGGTTTAGTTTCTCCACATTCAAGAGCAACTTTCAGAGTCTTTTCTAACATTCATATTTGTTTTTTCTTTGTGTCCTGGCTTTTTGTTTTTTGTTTTTAATTTGATCTAAACTTTATTATTTTTTTAAAAAAGTTTTTATTTTGAATTGAGTGAGAGAACATCGGTTTTACACACGTCCTATCTTATTTCATGTCATTGCAATGGTTGCAATACCCTCAGTGCATCGTCATTCAACAGTATTTGCTCACTGAAGTAGTTTTGTGTTTTAATACTAAAATCTGAGTATGTTAATTATGTTGTTGTTAAGTGTCTCTGAGTCACTTCTAACTCATAACAACCCTGTATAGGGTTTTTGAGGATAGCTGCTGAGTTTGACTTGCTGACCTTGTGATGAGTAGTCGAGTGCTTGTCCTATGGTGCCATACCAGGGCTCCATGTGAATTATATCTCAATAAAAATATAGTAAAACAATTTTTTTGGTTGTGACTTCTCTTCCAGAGGAAAAACTATTAAATGGTGGTATATGTATGTAACTTTCCCAAGGTTCCATGACTTTAGAATTCATAGTTATTGTATGTTTTTTATTTCTTATTTTTAAAAGAGCAGGTCAGAGGAATGATGCATTATGAATTGTTGGGTGGTTTCTCTGTGTGTGTGTGAGTGTTGCTTGTTTCAAACCCTGTAAGTGCCTGGCAGCTGGGGGGCCTGTTTCTAAAGGACTTGCTGTGTTTCTGTGCAGGCTCCGTGGAGTGTGCAGAGGAAACCTGTGAAGCCAATGTGGTGATGCAGACCCAGCAAGGTTTCCAGTGTACCATGAGGACCCCCAGCCTGCTCTACAAGTGAGTAAGACCCTCCCAAAGATGAGCACCCAGTGTTCCCCCACACAGCATTCACTGTTCAACTCAGTTAGAAAAGTCATCGTAGCTAACAGGGTTCATTAGGGAAGTTGTTGTTGTTCTTAAGTGCTGTCGCGTTGGTTCCGACCCTTAGTGACCCTGTATAGGGCTTCTGAAGAGTGGCTGTTGAGCCAGAACTGCCAACCGCTTGGCTCAAACTGACCTCAAGGTACAGTAAATCAACTAGATGACAGTTCAGGGTTAGAAAAGCTCAGGGCACAATTCTTTTGGTCAGGACAACCTCACCTCAGTTATGCCCACAGGCAGGCCTGTCTCTGTCAGGGCAGTGTTTTAGGACTGCTGATAAATGCTCCCAGGGCCTACCCTTCTACCTTAAGCTTCAGCCAAAGGCATTCAGCTCTACCCTTCTACCCTGAGCTTCAGCCAAAGGATTCAAGTCTAGCTCTGTGGGTCAGCAAACCTAGTTTTCCTAGAATTATGTGCCTGGAGGCGACCCACTCCATAAACGAGTTTGCTGCTCAAAGGCACTTGGCTTTCCTTACTCTGTGGGCCGGGGAATCTGCCACTCTGTCTTTGGCTCTTGGTTCTGGTGCTGCTCCTCTGTCCTCCAGTGTCACAGCTTTCTATCTCTGGGTTAAGGAGGTTTAGAGTGCAGGGATTTGGGGGTCCAAAGGACAGGCTTCCCTCTTGGCTTTTCCATGTTGGTAGTTTGATTCCCTACCCTGCTTCTGACATGGTTCATATTAAACTCATCTTAGAGTTCAGAGCTTTTACAATCACAATTAACTCTGTTAATTGTTGTTATGTGTCGTGAGTTGGTTCTAGCTCATAGCGACCCTGTATAAGGTTTCCAAGGAGCAGCTGGTGGGTTTGAACTGCTGACCTTGTGGTTTGCACACCGGTGCTTACCCTATAGCGCCATGCCAGGACTCTACAAAGACCGTTGTTAAGTCGAGTTGATTCTATCTCATAGCAACCTTTCATAGGATTTCTGAGGAGCAGCTGGTGGTGGACTTGAACCACTGACCTTATGGCAGTCTAGTGCTGATCCTACAGCACCATACCAGGAGTCCAGTTCTGTTAACAGTCCAACTGAATCATATCATTCTATCAGCATCTTCGTCTCCCACCTTTTTTACCTAAACCCTTCAAGAAAAAGTGATTTGATGGGAGTTTTCAGATTGTGATGCTGTAGGATAAGCACTGGACTGCTAACTTCAAGGTGAGTAGTTCAAACCCATGAGCTGCTCCTTGGAAATCCTGTGCAGGGTCTCTGTGAGTCAGAACTGACTTCGATGGCATTCATCAATAGCAACACAACTAAAAGAGACATTAAATCATTAAATAATTCACTACATTGCAGAACACCCCCCCATCCCCTCACTGTTTCACCTGGAAACACTTCCAGGAAATTCAGCAAGAAGTTGACTCTTTTCTCTTGCACTTTTATTGAGATTGAGATATTGAAATCTTAAGGACCATTAACAGGTTAAATCTCATCGTTCCACATATATCACCCAGTCCTGTTGAATTTGCATCATAAATGTCTTTGAATCTACCACTTCTCTCTTTCTTCATTGCCATCCTTCTGCCTTCCTGTGGGTTTCTTAAGGTAGCTTATTTACTGCCTCCACATTTACTCTCCTAAGTATTTCTTCACATTGAGGGTAGAGTGATCTTTTTAAAAGGCACATCTAATTATTTTACTAAGGAGCTCTGGTAGTGTAGTGGTTATGAATTGGGCTGCTAACCTCACAGGCAGCAGTTCGAAACTACCAGTGGTTCCGTGGGAGAAAGATGAGGCTTTCTGCTCCCATAAAGATTTACAGCCTCGGAAACCCTGTACAGGGTCGCTATGAGTCGTAACTGACTCCACAGCACATAACCACCACCACCAATTATTTTACCATCTCTGCTTGAAGTGCACCCATAGCTTCCCATTGTTTTTGCACATGGTTTAAAAGAGGCCCTGCATTTTTTCAGCTCCACATCAGGCTATTCTATCCTTGGCTTTATGCTTAAACTCAACTAGTTTTTCTGAGTTTTTCATATATGCCAAGCTCCTTCCTGCCTTAGAGCCTGTACACGATGCTTTTCCCCTTGCCTTAGACTCTCTCTTCCTTGCCAATTAAGTCCTCCTTCCATAGGGAGCTTCCTTTGAAAACATCGTTCTCACTGTATTAGATTCCTAGGGCTGCCCTAACAAAGGAAGTACCATTAAGGAAGTAAATGACTTACAGTGACAGAAATTTACTGACTGTTAGGTCTGGAGACAAGAAGTCCAGATTAAAAAGTAAAATGCTTTATAATTTCTTCTGGTGGTGGTTATGTGCAGTGGAGTTGGAATCGACTCATAGTGACCCTGTACAGGGTTTCTGAGGCTGTAAATCTTTATGGGAGCAGAAAGCCTCCTCTTTCTCCCACAGAATAGCTGGTAGTTTCGAACTGCTGACCTTAAGGTTCGCAGACCAATTTGTATCCACTATGCTATCAGAGCTCCTTGGAATTTCTTCTAGGTGTCTACAAATACTGACCTTTACAGAAGTAGTTTTATTGTGAGAGAGTATCTTTGGAACATATGATTTAAACATGATGGTATTCTTTATCTTGATACATTTAAAATGAGTGTCCATTTACAGGTATTTCTTTATATTATAGGCATATAGTGGGAAAGAGAGGGGACACCAAGAAGAAACTAGAAACGGAGACCAAAACTTCTATTAGCATTCCTAAACCTGGACATGAAGGAGATATTGGTGAGATTCAATATGCATACGTTATATTAGCAGTCATTTTTGCAAGGAGTGCTGTAACCCAACTGAAATGTTTTGTGACAGACTATGTTTTTTATGGGCTTTTGTAGCTATTGACATTTTAATGATATTTTAGTATCAATTTCTCAAGTGAGGAAAAGATGTTATACAACTTTAGCATGATTGAGTTCCTGGAACTTAATTTTATATTTATTGTGTGCTGATGGAATAAAACATTCAGATTTCTCTATGTGTGAGGAGATTGCACTCTTGTGCTCTGCTTCAGTACAGTGAAATAGAAGGTGTGAATTGTTTCATTTCAGGTTTACAGAAAATGAATGAGATCAGAGAATTTGAAATAAAGTTCAGTCCTTTCCATAAGTGTTCTATTAGCTGTATTCCCCTTGTTTTGGAGACTTGGAAGGGAGTTATGACATCAATGATTAAAATAATATAATCTGCTATAAATAACTACTTGAATGAGGGGAAAAAAAAAGGTTTTGGCAGTATAAATCAAGTTTGAAAGTTTCTGTACTAAGCTTGTGTTTAAAAACAGCCTAAATGAGAGGCACTGTAGGTACAAAAATACTGAGTTATTCCAAGTCCAAGAGTGCGGCAGCACCAGTAATAATTGTCCATAAGCACCCATAAATTGTATTAGATTTTAGCAGGAAAAATAACCGGTACTGTTCTAATTTTGTGCTTTCTAAGAATAATTCCTCTGACAGAAATGGAAGTACTGTCCAAAAGAGCTGCTGTGATCCTGCCAGGGTTTTAGAGCTGCACTCCCCACTTCGGAAGTCACTAACCCTGTGTACCCATGAGCACTGCGAATGTCCTTAAAGTGAATGAGGAGCTGACTTGTAAATTTCACTGAAGTAACTATATGTGGTTAGTTAGAGTTTGTCCCAGCCCACACTTCGTCAGGTCAGCACACTTAGGCATAAGAACTTTACAAAGCTTGGAAGGCTTTTTAATCAAATAATCAGCTCATTAAAGTTACAAATATGAAAATACTTTTTTTCCCTTAAGGTTTAAAGTTTGAGCTCTAAGTAGGAAAGTACTTTTATAATTGCATTTGTTTATTTATCTAGTTATTTTCAAATTTTAAAAAGTTTGTCAGAATTTATATATAAGTTTTAAAGGAGGTCTCTTATATTCTGAACCCCTGACATACCAGTTAACTCATGTATGTTTTCTCAATATTTTCTGCCTTTATGCTAATATGTATAATAACTTTTACCACACTAAAGTTTATAACATAGAATAAACATGGAGATCTTAGCCATTTTAAAATACTGGAACCATTCCAAAATTTATCCTGAGAAGGGTAGGCAAGTCATGTAGGTCTCATTTTGATTAAGAAAACACAGTGATTGCAGTGTGAAAAACTGGTGTGTGTAAATGTTAAAAGCAAGACTTTAGTGAACTCCTGATGTGATGCTGTGGATTACACAAGGTCACCAATTCACACCCACCGGCTGCTCCTTGGAAACCCTATCCAGGGTTGCTATGAGTTGTAGCCGACTCGACAGCACTTAACAACAGCAGTGTAATTGAAAGCAAGAAAATAAACATAGATAAGCAAAGTACATAGAAAAATCAAATTTATTGGTAAGAGTAAGTTGAGATGTGATATAAAATTAAAATTGCAGTTGCAGTGGTGTGGCATTTTGCCTGTGCTATTATTTTTTTTTTTTTAATGTTTTATTGTGAATTATATGGTAGTTTACATGAGAGAACTGTAGTTTTACATTCATTCCATCGTATATCATCTCATTGCCATGGTTCCAATCCCCTCCATGCATCATCAACCAACCAAAGGGTATATCCTAGAAGCCCGCCCCCTACACTCTGGCCTGTACCCTTTTCCTCTCTGGATCCAAAGTCCCCAGCTGCTTCATTACTCCACATCGTTGTCTCTGTCTGCATCTCAGGCATCTCCGTTTCTCTGGGTAGGGTCCTGTTCTTGGCTCTTCTCTGTTGGTGGTCCCAGATACTTCTGCTCCTAGCCTGTAGAATTAATCACTCCCTTCTTTGTTCCAGAACGTCTACCTTTGCATTTCCAACCCTCATAATCTGTCCTGATAAGCATTCTTCACTACAGTATCACGAGTTACCCATCTGTATTTCCTTTCATGCGCTTCGCCCAGTCAGATTGAATGGTACCCACTGGAGATTCTGTCTTCCTCCATGCTCCCTAGCACTAGGTTCCCCCTTGAAAGCTTGTAAGCCAGTCACTTCTTGCCTTTGTAGTCCCGCCCCCCCATTTGAGTATCCAATGTCCAAGTTGCCCATCTCCGTCTACTCTGTGTGTGGAGGGGGTGGGAATGATTCTTGCTGTAAGGATTTGTTCCTTCTTTTGAGTCGCTGCTCCATAGGTATAGGTCAAGTTCATCAGATTGTATCAGCTCACTCTTTTTTTTTTTTTCCCCTCTTCTATCTTCTCCTGGTTGAGCTCCCATCATCCAGTTATCCGGTCCAGGTCACGTGGGTATCTTCTGCCAAGTGTGGACGCTCCTGTGCACATGCCCTCTCTTCCTGTCAGCCGGTAGCTCCACTCTCCTCTCGAGTCCTCCGTTTGCCTGTGCTATTTTTGAGAAACCAGAGAAGGGAATGGTCTAGTAGGTTATATTTTGCCTTCTAGACAAGGATCTGGTCTAGTCTGTTTTGCAGTCTCAGGAAATGATACATCAGGAGAAGCTTTCAAAATCATATTATCATTGCAGATATGAATTGTTTTTTTTTTAAGTTTAACATGCTGTTGTTATTAAATGCCATTGAGTTGGTTCCAACTCTTAGAGACCCTGTACACGGTTTCCAAAGAGCAGCTGGTGAGTTTGAATTGCCAATCTTGTGGTTCAAAGTGATCTTGTGGTCTAGTGCTTATCCTATAGCACCACACCAGGACTTCACAAAGTTTAACATAAATGCCTTTGCGTTCTTACTAGGTACTTGTAGTCTTTGGATCCATGCCGTGTAGATTCTGATCCCCTTTAGGTTTTTGTAGTTGTGCATAGTTACAGGTATTTGTAGACTATTTCTAAGCTCAGTCAGATGTTTTCTTTAGTCTCTGTTGAATCAGCTTTGAATTTTTCCTGGAAATCAGTCTCTCTGAGTACATTTCTGTGTTAAAGAAATGCAAACATCTTACTAGTCTTATTCTGCATTATACCACATTCTTAATGAAAAAATAGCAGATTTAACATTTTATACCAAACTTTTGTAGAAATAAAACCTAAAACATGAGATTTAAGAAAGGTTTTTTTCTTTTTAGCTTATCACCAAATATTTGGTCTCTGGAGAGATAATTGTAGTTTCTTCTTTTAATTTTCCTAGTTTACATTTGAGCTGTCAGTATTTCTCTAACACAATATATGAGGGCCATCTATGTATATTTCTCTTCACTGGGCATTTGAGTCCTTTGGATTCTTGAAGTATTCTATCTGATAATATAAATAATGTCATCGAAAACATCATTGTCTCTACTTTTCCTCCTTTTTTACATTTATGCTTGTTATGTCAATTTTTGTACTTCAGTGAACAGTTCTCAGGCTTCGTATTAATCCATTTATTCATCATTTACTATTTTAGCTAGAAATTTCTTTCTTGTTTCTCTACAACTAAATAGGTATACTATTTTCATTGCTATCAAGGGATAGTGTCCTTACAGAACATTTGAAATGCTTTAGTGGAAGTTTTTAAGACACATAAATGGAATAATGTCTTTTACTTCTGCAGTAATTGTAACTGGAAGGAATGGGCTTTGTGATTTTTAAAGAATTCAAACGCATCTTACTACTATTATAATGAGATCTGGTATGGCTCTGTAGGATAAACCCTGGACTTCTAACCTTAAGGTGGGCAGTTCAATCCACTAGCCACTGCTTGGAACCCCTATACAGGGTTGTTAGAACTGACTCATTGACACTTAACAACAAAGTATTATTATAGAGTCTTTGGGTGGCACTGTAGGATAAGCACTGGTCTGCTAGTCACAAATTTGGCAGCTCAGACCCACCAGCTGCTTCTTGGATACCCTATACAGGGTCAGTATGAGTTGGAACTGACTTGAAGGCAGTAGCAACAACAGCGCCACTATTATCATTGGTACTTCAGTATTTTATAGCATATTCAGAAGTCTCTTCTTGACTTTTTCATAGTCTATTGTGAAATGTGAATAATGTTAATTGTTCCTATTGTCCACTGTTAGTTTTGAACTAAGACCTGCTAGTTCTATAACCTAGAGGTTTGATTTCTGCTAGAACAGACTATGTAACCTGTACATGGTTTTCTTTCTTTATAGATAGTGACCTAGACTTTGTGACTTTTCTCCTACTTTCATTTACGAGGTGGTTTCCAAAAGTTTGTGGAAACATTGAATTATCTTTGAGTTCCATTTTCCCATGAATCTTTGAAGTCCCTTAAAGGCACGGTTGTTGTTGTGGTTAAATACCTTCGAGTCCGTTCCCGTTTATAGTGACCCTATGTAGGATTTTTGAGGAGTGGGTGGTGAGCTTGAACTGCTGACCTTGTGGTTCAAACCAACGTTGCAGTCCAGTGCATTAACCTGCAGCGCCACACCAGGATTCCACATAAAGGCATAGTCCAGATCAAACAAGGCAAATTAAACTAAAACATAGAAATTTGATATTCATAAATGCAATATCAGTAAATTCACTACATTTTTTAACTCTTGACTTTCTGTTTTAATCACAGAATAGGATTGTATTGTAATATATTCTCTTTTGCTCTTTTACTGTAGTGAATTTACTGATATTTTTATGCCACAATATTTTTATTTGAGGTAAAACTCACATAAAATAAAATTAAAACTTTTTTTTGCTTCTAAGTTACTTTTTAGATTTTAATTTCCATGCAGTGCTTTGTGCTTCTTTTTTTCATTGTCAATAGGTGCCATTGAGTTGGTTCTGACTCATAGCGACTGTATATACAACAGAACGAAGCACTGGTGAGTCCTGCACTGTCCTCACAGTTGTTAC